AATTCCTTTTTTTTTTTTTTTTTTTAGAAATAAAATTCTGTCCTGTTACGATTGTTTCTGGATGTTAACTTTTTTCCATTATAGGTGATAGACCTACGAAAAAAGTGTCTTAAATATCTGGATTCTATGGGACAAAAGGGCAACAGGATCTGTGAGATTCTCCTGTAAGTAAAGGCTAAAAATCTTCACTGTTACCTTGTTAGGTGATCTGTCTTCTGTCTAATCCTGGAAGTCCAGTGTATAGTCAAGGCTATCTTCCCAGTTGTTCGGGACTTGACTTGAATCCATCTTTTTGTTTAAAAATAACTGAATATCTGATTTTAACTCTGAAGTCTTGTTTAATAGCATCATTGAAAGTAAGTTTGTCATGTGTTATGATGTAAAATATATTTTAGAATCCTGTGATTTGAATTAGATTTCTTTGGGATTGATACATTATTCTGAATGTTCTAAAGTGCTACTAGCTGGGGAGTATTATACCTCTGAATTGTTAAACCTGCTCATGTTCTGTGCTTTCCATGATGATTGGGTTCATCTCTTATAACCCAGAGGTAATTTTTAAATTAAATCATACCGTTTGTAGGCAACTATTTCAAATAGTAATTGCTAGAAACCTGCCCTTAAAGCATAGCTATGTAAAGTGATGACATGAATTTCATGGTGAGGAAGCAAATCCATAAGACAAGTCTGTTTTGAACCTCTGCTGTTTACTGGAAGATATGTAGGTTCCTATTTTTAATTTTAGTAGGGATACTAAGATAATTTTAATACGGATACAAATACCATAAAGTCCTTTGTAATTAAAATGTTGTCTTCACAGGGGTTCATCAATACATTCTTTCTTTGTTGTTTTTTAGTCAGTATTTACAGGATGAAAGTAAGACCAAAAGAAATGTTGACCTGAGTCTTTTAGAGTGGACGCACTACAGCATGAAGCCCCACGTAAGTGATGAGCATCAGTATTTCAGATACTCTGCTGCACTTGCTGTCAGAGGCATGTTACTTAGACTTGAGCTCCTTCCTCCCTCCCCTCATATACATTCCTAGGCATGCATTCTCCTGAAGTGCATGTACATCTTAAGAATGATCTACTTCTCAGTCTTGTAACCCAGATGTTTGCTTCTTAGCCTTATCTTGCCTAAATTGTAAATGTTATCTATATGCTAGCATGTCTCTCAAAAAAAAATGGAGAAAAAAAAGAAAAACCTCAATAAATTCAGGTCAGCTACTTTTCTCAGTTGGCCCTAGTGAAAATTTGAAGTTTTTGTTCAAAACTTATCTGGGATTGTTTTGTATTTAGCTCTTAAGGGTCCCATGCGTGGGTCCTCAAGAGCCATGTATGCTGTTTATGAAGGGGCTTTGCATCGTGCCGATTTGAGTCTCATTCAGGGCTGAAAAGTACGTCCATCTTTGAGTCCTGATGGCATCTTTTAAAGTATGCTGTGCGAATCCAGTGTTAGCCCTAACCCGTGTTTACCTGGCCAAAAGCATTTTTGTTTCTAAGTTGAATAATTAGAAAGGTAAGCTTTAAAATTTCCTGAGGAGAGCACAGATACAAGAAGCGTCCGTTAGGATGAATACCGTGTTCTGGGAAATGTAGTAAAACAAGTTCTCTTTATTGTATATTGGCGTTTATAGTTCTCTCCAGTCTTTAAGAGATGCCGGGCTTGGGAGAAACGTGAGAAGTACCTACCATATGTTTGCGTGGTGTGCATGTTTAAACGATCTTTTTCCACAGTAATCATCTGTATTTCTTTGACTAAAAATTGAGCTGTTGTCTAGTATGTTTTCCAGCAGTTAGGATTAGATTCTCTTACTCTTATTACCTTGCGCTCATTATAACAGAGAGCCAAAGTGTGTAAGGGACTGGCCCAGATTATTGCAACTGGGCCGGGGAAATGTGTGAGCTTATCACCTCACTTTGCCTCAGGACAGAACTGAGCAATCAAGGCAAGATTTCCTAATTGGTTAAAGCCTATGAAGATGCTTTTATCTCTCCCCTGCTTGCAGCCATGGGGGTCCAAAGCAGTAGTATTTTTTGGGCTAGGGAAGAACAGTTAAACTCTGCAGTATTGAAGTAGGTTAGTTGTCTTGTAAGCATATTTCTGATTGAGCCACACTTAGTCCTTTTTAGAATTTAGAAATGTTTCTGAAATAATTCTGACTAGAATTCCATTCCCTGGTAATAAACCTTTCAATTGGTTTCTTTGTGTGAGACATGGAACTCTCTTTCCTTTTCTCTTTCCTTCAGAAAAATATTTTCCATGGGGTCACGTCCTCCATGTCATGGTTAGGATTTTTAATACTACATAAATACTGATTGTGTGTGTGTCTGTGTGTGGTTTGTGTGTGTCTCTGTGTGTATGCATCTGTGTGTGTAATACATACTTAATATTTAACTTTATATTGTTTACCCACAGTAGTATTTAGAGAAAGTCAAAGAAGTTTGTATTTGATGAAATTTTATCTTTTCTTCCCTTCTTTTTTTATAATTTTAGGAGATTCCTCAACAGTTGAATGGGAGTGATTGTGGAATGTTTACTTGTAAATATGCAGATTATATGTCTAGGGACAAACCTATCACATTTACTCAGGTGAGTGAAGACCCTTCCTCATCCACTTACGTGTTACTAGAGGAGACAGACTTAGAGCTTGTTACCAGTGCCCGGCGCACTTTAAGGTCCTAATGGTGGTAGCCGTGCTACCGTCACTGCTGTAAACCTTGGCTGTAGCCCTACTCTGGCTAGTATGAGGGTTTGTCACTGTATCTGCTCTCAGGTGTATCCTAGTCTTCATGACTATTGGGCCAGTTTGCTGTCTTTCAGCTCCAGTGTTCACTGGTTTCTGGGTATTACTTATATTTTTAGCCAAGGGAGGCATGTCAGAATATGTAACAGCAAGGGGAAATCAGGCCTCGTGAGAACCTAAGCCATGGGTCTAAGATGTAATTATGAGTACTGCTTTCCCTTCTGTTCTGGTTATTAGTTCTCCATAGCTCTGCATTTGAGTGAAAATTAAAATATGTTGGAAAGCCTTTGAGAACTTGTGTTTGTAATAGTGGATTCTCAACCTTTTTACAACTGAGGATAACCCCCTTTAAAAATACTTTTCTTAAACAGACCTCATTTTGGCAGATGTTGTCTCCCAAACTACTTATTGAATAGTAGGACTGATAACCCCATTCCAAGCTTTGGGGCAACATGAAGTAACCAGGGCTCTGATGCTGAATTAATACAATTCCAGTCTGAGATAAAGGCACTTATTAGTTTCAGCATTTCACTAAGAGTAAATGTACAGTTTTTTACAACATGTTTTGAGCTATTTAAAATGTACAAATCCATGTATTAAGACTTTTTAGTTCCTCCAGGTGGGGAATCACTAGTTTGTAGTAAAGTGGTAATCCAGCTATTTATAATGAGACACCAGGAGTACCTCAAGGGTAAAGACCTCTGATTTCCTCAAAAAGAGGACTAGTTGAGTTACAGGTAATTTTGGATTTACCTTGTATGTTGCTGCTTTGAAGATTGCCCCATGTAGTGATTAATCAGTTAAAGCCGAATAACATTAAGTGAAGAATGTCCTTTGATGATGCTTCTAAGTAACAAGCAGTTATTTGTTTTGAACCTAATGACATGAGATTTGAAGTGGAGAAGTTGCAATTTAAACATCATTAGCAATGTGCAACATTTGGTAGAGCAGAAAGAAATTTGTGGGTTTTTTTCTTTGCTTTTATAGAGTTCGCGGTTTTCTCGTATAAAAAGCAGAATATGTTAATTTGAGAATGTTTTGAGACTGTATATAAGTAGAAAAGCTGTCTATTGTGCCACCACTTGGATATTCCCAGTTTCGGTACATGGGTTTTTGTTACAAGGTTGTTGGACTCTAATTCTGCATCCTGCTTTGATTTTCCTTAACATGTAAAAATACTAATGATACATATAATAATAAACATTATAAACCTTTTTTATGGCTTCACAAATCTGTACCATGATGTAAAAAAGTCAGGCTTACCTAAAGGACATTGGCATCCTATTTATTTACATGATTGTACCTAAAAGTTGTTGGCATTGTGGCAGTGAATATAATGCACGTGTGTTTGGTGGATTCTTTGCAGCACCAGATGCCTCTCTTCCGGAAGAAGATGGTGTGGGAAATCCTTCATCAGCAGTTGCTGTGAGAATGCCCTGCCCAGTCCCTTAGCTGCTGGTGATTCTTTCATGGACGAACGTTTTCATATACCTCATGCACTGTGGGTTAAAAAGTCCCTGCATCACCTGCTCTCTCACAGGCACTGAGCTGTCAGACATGCATGAAGGCCCTGCACCCAGTGTCCTGACTTGGTATGCGGAGGGCTGCTTGCAACCCTGTTTGTAAGACTGTGCCTGCCCAGAGCCCTGGACTGTTCAACCCACATAGGAACAAACGCTAATTAATACTTTTTTAAAAGATTTTTTCCCCTGTGAATGTGGAAAATGCAGGATTTATTCTATGAGTTGTTGTTTTCCGTGTTTGTCACGTGTATTTGTTCGCTCACTCATCTGCAGATGTAACGGGCAGTGGCTGTTTTGTGCTGCCCTTTTAGAGTTAACTTTGAATTACTTGTTTGAACTATTTATTTCTGAAAAGAATGTTAATCAAGCTGCCACTCCCTGCTGATGTGGAGGGAGGGAAATCAGTGGGGGAGGAAGGAAGTGTTAATTAACATCTCTAACGCTAGAGCGGGAACTGCCCACTTGAAGCTGGAGGTCTATTTTTTTGAGGCTTGAAAATGCCAGGAGAAGCGCTGGGGTTAGGGCTCCGATTGCCTGTCGGCGGAAGCCTGACACTCCGGCATTGGCATGGTGTGGAAAAGTGGAACTGTGGCCAAGGAACTTTGGCTACCCAGGCATCTTCAGAAGAGTGTCATGGTCATCTAAAGAGACTTTCCTTTCTGGAAATGAGGTGACTGCTACTCTTGAAACTGGATTTGAAGTAACTAAGCCCTAAATCTTCATTTTCGTCCCAGATCTGGTTGAGTATAAACCTCAGAATTGTAAGGGCTGGCCTCAGCTGTTTATTTCAAAAGATACGATTCAATTTAAAGCTATTTTTCCTCAAAGTTTTTTTTTTTATATATATATAGAAAGCTGAAATTACGTTTTGTATTCATTAGGATTTACACACCCTCCCCCCCATTCCACCCCTACTGAAATTTGTGGAAGAAGATTTAGTACTTGGCTCTGAGGTTACCAGTTATACAATAATCTATTTTGCATATGAAAGTTTGTATTCAACTTTTTTGTTCATTAAAAACTTTACAGTGGTTACGCATTTTTAATTTCAGAAAGTTTAGAGTTGGTCAGAACATATTTTGCAAGATCTAGTGCCTAGTGTTGCTTTTCCGATGTAATAAAAGGTTGCCTGGCAGAACCTGAAAAGTATATGCTGAAATGATTTCTAACCCTTTCCCTACTAAACTCCCACACTTGTCCTGGTGCACAGGGAGGCGATAAAACCGGAAAGACTGGGCTTGTGCTAGCTGTGAATCAACATGTCTGCCACCTGGAGGGCCCCAGGTTGCTGGTTGCAGAGGTGTGCTCTCGCAGCCAGTTTTCCCTGAGACACGTAAAAGTCTTGGCGTGGGACCTGGGACATGTGATGCGGACTGACACTGCTGCGCCTGCGTGATGGCCAAACCAGAGGACGTGTGCTCGGGTGGTGATTAAAGAATGAGCCAGATGTGCTGCCTCTCCGCGCTCGGCCTGCGGAGAGCCCTTCCTACAGCCTCTGTTCCTTCCCTGAGGCTGCTGGGTCGTGAGCACTGGGATCAGTCAGCTGGCTCGGCCCAAGAGATTTACTGGGGAGCATTATACTAAAAACCTGGCTCCCACTTGGCGCTAGTAGGTTTCACCTAAAAACGAAGTCCCTTGGTTAACATTTGTTCCACGTGGGGTCAGCACTGTCTGGGGTGGCAGTTTGTATTCTGCCCATATGGAGGAGGCTGGGGATTAATGTGTTTGTGTTACATGATAAGCATCTGAGGGGCTTCGTAGAGCAGCTGTTTCCTGGGACGGAATGAAATTGATAAGCGCAGAGGTAAGTTAGAGGGGCATTCTACTTTACCCTGACTCCCTGAACTTAATATACTATAGACCACGCTTTTCTAGGCACTGACATGTCTCTCTTGGTGCAGAGAAAACTTGTAACAGAATTTTTATATCTAAACAGTTTATGAGAAAAGCAGTCTGGTGATAAAAATAACTTGATTTTATCAACATTATATGTCAATATTGAAATTAGCAACATTTAAGTCAGTGAGATGATATACATATTTTTTATTATAGTAGTTTGGGGGTCTGAAAAAAGCTGGAGTGACTTTTTTAAGTAGGCAGTTTCTCCTAAAGATTGATTAAAATGAAAACACACACACTCAAAACTGTTGGTGAGCAAATGTCTTTCTCATGCTTGACCTTGTACCAGAGTGGGGATGTGGGGATGTGGGTGGGAGGGAAACAGATGGGGCGTGTGGAAAATGTTCTGGAGAGCCCCATGTCCTACCTCAGTTACCTAGGGCTGTTAGACTTCTGATCACTTTTTTAAAAAATATGTTTTTGTTGATTTAAGGGAGAGGGGGAGAGGGAGAAACATCAATGATGAGAGAGTCGTCATTGATTGGCTGCTCCTGCACACCCCCAATTGGGGATCGAGCCAGAATCGAACCGTGGTCTCCTGGATCCTAGGTCGATGCTCAACCGCTGAGCCATGCCGGGCTGGGCCGATCTCTTCTTCTGAACTGGGAAGCACAGCTTGAGGGATGCCCTGTGAAATGGGGGATGTTTGCCTGCAATGTGAGGAGTTGCTTGGTGCTGGGACCAAGGTGTGGGTGTGGGGAGAATGTGTCCTTGGAGATGCATTGAACTTCTGATACAAATAAACAAGGTAGAGAAATTTAAGTAATAACCTTAGTACTGTATTTCAGCTACATTATTTAAATTGGCTTTTGTGAACTAGTTGAGAATCTAATTTCTTTATGGTAGTTTCTTTGAGGAAAAACTCTAAGGACCCAGTATTTAAACAAACTTGTGGTACTTGTTTGTAAGTTGGGGATCTAGCTGGCTGTATTGCTTTGATAATTTTTTTCTTTATATTTACCTAATATATATAAGGAAGGGATTTGGGTGTTTGAAATAGGTGTTTTTATATATTTACCAGTAAGTTTATCTTTCATTCAGTGGTTTTCAAACTTTTTATTGCAACTCAGTAATAAATGTACTTCATATTGTAACCAATACACACATGCATGCCATGTGATTATATGTGGACACAAAAGTTTTTACAAAAACATTATTACCCTCTGAATTTTATTTTGGTATTTTTTAAAAATGTGCATTGTGACCACCAGATTGATTTCTAAACCCATTGGTGGGTGGAAATCCACAGTTTGAAAAACACTGCTCTCAATGAACTGACAGCAAGATGCAAATTATGTTTAAAACTATAAAGCTTGAGACTACAAAAATGTGATAAATAAGGGGCTGTTTTGAGATGAATCAATTCAGGAAACAGGCCAGAAGCTCAGAGGAAATAAGTCGTATAAACAGTCCTTGTTCTTGGCATTTCCTAAAATATGTTAAGTGAAAGTCCTATTACCTCCATGTAGGATGTAAAACAAAGACTTCTGTGGCCCAGTGAATGTGTGTACCATGTGATGCAGGGCAAACAATGACTTAGCGTCTCAATCTAGCATTTCTGAAAACTGGGACATTGAGCCCTTTTCTGTGACAGCTGTGGAACTATTGTATGGAAACACTTTGGAAAGTGTCAGGAGAAGCAACAGAGTTCTTGGAAGCACGTGCTTCAAATATACACTGGGGAAGCATCCTCCCCTGGCCCACCCCAAAACATGTACTGCCTCCTTAAGATCATATGGTGATCGTAAAGTCTGTGGTTCCCACTTACATTTTTAAAAATTGTATCTGTAATAGGTGTTTATAGTGGGGAGAAAAAATACTGCTAAAAGGTAAAGAAAAAGAATTTTGCAAACTTACCACCCAGTTAATAACTCTTAGTATTAACATTTTGGTATAAATCCTGGTCTTTGATATATACTCCTTCATATGTGTGTGTGCGTTGTGTATGCTTGTGCATGTATATATTTTTGTTAACAAATGGGCTGATATGATACATATGGCTATATAACCCCTTTCTACTTAATTTATCTTGACCATACTGTCAAGTCAATAAATAGACATTTTAATTGAAGCACAGTGTTCCAGTGTATGACTAGAACATGATTAATTTAATCCACTATTGTTGGACATACCATCCTGGACAAATGTGGGTTATTCTCTTATAAATTCTAAGAATTAAAATTTCTGAGTTAATGTATAGCAAAAAAAAAATCAGAAAAAGTCACCCATTGATACTTGGACTTACTTCTGGCACAGGATGATTATTTGCAATCAAGAGATTTGTAATCAAGAGATTACAAATAATAATTGATTTACATTTTATAAGACATATCCAATCATCACCCTCCTTCAGCAGTTAGTAAATGTGGCTCCTCTTGATTCACCTTTTATTCAGAGGGGTCTAGAGGCTCTGGAGTATTTTAAAGCAAAACCTTGACATGTCATTCTACCTAAATACTTAAAAATGTCTCCCTAACTTTAAAAAAGGCCTATATCATTTTCACCAACTAACAAAATAAGAATTTGGTAATATCATCTAATAATACTCCTTTCATACTCAAATTTCCCTGATTGTTTCAAAAATATTTTATTATAGTCTAATCTGGATATATAGTGGCCTCCAAGAATGTTAAGTCCATATTAACCCCTGGAACCTGTGAATATTATTTTTTTTAATTTTACTTTTCCCCCATCAACCTTTAACCCCCTATGCCCTCTTCCACCTCCCCCTCACAACCACCACACTGAATATTACTTTCTATGGCAAATGATGTGATAAAGTTAAAGATCTTGAGGAATTTATCCCGGGTTATTGGTTGGGCCCTAAGTACAATCACATGCCTTATAAGAGAATGGCAGAGGGGTTTTGAGACAGAAGAGGAAATAATAAAATGGGCCTAGGCACTGTTTATATTCTATACCCATTTTGGGGGGGAGGGGGGTTGGAATCCATTTATATATATCTAAAACAAAATCTGGAAAAGAACAGCCACTGTTAATAATGGTTGTCTGGACAGGCTCTGTTACTTTATAAACTTGTATTTGGAGAGGTTTTTTTTGTTTTACTAAAAGAGGAGGCACTGAGGCCAAGGGAGCAGGGACTGGGGTATTGCTACCATAAGCCAAGAAAGCGTGGAGCCACCAAAGTTGGAAGAGCCTTTGGGGGCAACCTGGCCCAGCTGACACCTTGATTTTGGACTTCGGGCTCCAGAACTGTAAGAGAACAAATTTCTTTTGTTTTAATTTACCAAACTTGTGGTAGTCACAGCGATCTCAGGAAACTCATACAGGATCCAAATAAAATGTACAAATTGCCTTTGGTTGCCCTGATCGCTAGAGGTTACTGGAGGCGAATGGGAATGTTCTTGTCTATCAGCCAGGCCTGAGATTGGAGGCAGTGCCCTGGAACTCACTAGTGGGAACAAAGTGCCTCACATCCATGGCCAAGTCACTGCTTTCACAAGGGAATACAGGGAGCGCTGAGGTTAAGCTGGAAGGTAATTTTGTCCTATGAGGTTTTGTCTTGATACCAGCTGTTTCTGAGAGCTATGAACACTCATGGCTTCTAGAAAGTGACTGTATGTGGCTGATGTGAGCTAGAACAGAAAATTAACCTGTATGTGGGATGAGTCTTACATTGTAATTCATCAGCGCCGTAAGGGGAATGCTGAGAGGAAAAAGGCAGCAGCAAAAGTTGACAGGAAACGTTGGGAATTCGCGGGGAGTGTCGTTAGGCATTCGCGGTAGCAGGCCACAGAGATCTCCATCAGGCTCGAAGGCGAGAGATTTGGATGCACGTACAATTTAGGCGAGTCTCCAAATACCTACAGCGCGGGCTTCTTTCACAATTACCAGGGGGACGCCTCCGCTGCCTGCTTCCTTCCCCAGGGACGTGGGAATGACCAGGCCAAGTGCTTTTTATACTCAAGTCCTTACCACATCTGTCTGCTCAGTCACGGGCTTCAACAGGATTCATCCAGATCCCACACTGAAGCCAGGTTATGAGTGTTCCCCGCTTCCCCGAGAAGCCCAGTGTTTTCTCCCACCCGCGCCCTGTCCTGTCAAGACACCCTCTTTCTATCTATGGCTGGTCATTTCCTTTTTCTGTGTTGAAACCCCCAAACCTCTGTCGAGTCTCCTTTTTCTAAGTTCCCCCTCCGCGCTGGAATCCTCTCATCTGCAGCCGGCCTGTCATCCTTCCCTTCCAGAGCTCCGTGTTGGAGGAAACTACTTCTTGAGGCAGAGCTGGGGGGAATTAACTAGGATGAAGGGGTGCTCAGGCTTCCTCACCATGTTCAGTGAGATGTCAGCACACTGCCAACCACTATGGGTCATGGGTTCCAAAGGGGTTCATTCCAAGGGAGCAGGGAGGGGCTATTTGAGTCTTGTAGGCTAATGGGTTTCAAAACCTTTGTTATTGACCAAAGTCTCTATTTAACAACTGTCCTTTTATTTTGCATAAAATCATGCTCATTTAGGACTTTCTGGGATGTCAGGATATCATGTCAAGACAGAAAAAGTCTGGGATTTGTCGCAAGTCCACATGTGGTAAACAAGGCACACAGGAAGTCGTTCTTAGGTGAGATGGGATAGGATCTGTCCTGTAAAGGATGGTCTCATGCTGTGCTGCCCTGAACCCAAGTGCTAAATAATTCAGCACCTGGGGTCTCAGAAAATGGGTTGTGAGAACATCCTTGCTTAGGAACAAGGCCGGCTGGCCTCGTCCCGTCTTCCGCCTCACCATGTGGCTTCCCCTCCACTGTTGCAACCTTAGGGCGGCTTCTCGGTGCTTTGTACCACAGCAAGTCAGGCACCTGTTGGCTCTTCCTCGCCTCTCTCTCTCATATGTGCAGGGAAAAGTATTTTGGAAATGGGCAGTTTAGGAGCTGGAGTCAAACCTCACAGTTTGCCACCTGGAATAAAGGCCAAGGAAGGAAACCTGAGCAGCAGAGCCAAGAGGGTGCATTCTTGGTTTGTCTCCTCGCCCACCCCGATTCCTCCACATCTTGACAGATTCATGACCAAGCCCTTCCTTTAAGGATATGCTGTTTTTCTAGCTGTTCCTCTGACAGGCACACCTCAACCTGGGGAACAGTTTTCGGTAATAACCCTGGTTGCTGGGAACCCCAGGTCTTCTCTTGGGCCGTCAGCCTATGGCCTGTTTCTCCTTCTGGGGGCAGCGGGAGGAGATGGAGCCATAGGTACTAGGCTTTCTAATGGCCACACGGGGGACAGTATGCCCCTGCTCATATTCATGCCAACCGCTGCAGTGAGAGGAACAGCTACCGTAACACTTTAAAGTCAGCATCACAGAAATTGAAAATGAGAAAGCCAGGAGCATGGATGGACAAACATAAGGAACACATTTTAAGTGAGCAAGGAGCCCTCAGAGTTTGTTAGAAGGGGAATGTGGCTACTGGGGAACGGATCAGTTTGTCTCCAGCTGTCCCTGCTGTGCTTTGAACGGTCACCCCCAAAGCCTGACTGACCACCGCGGGCAGTCAAGCATCAGCTCTTCATTCCTAAGATTGCCTGGACTTTCAGCAGCCAGCTCGGGCCGAGCCCACAGATGTATGAACGCAGGCTCCTCAAGGGAGCGGGACCATTCTTGCCCAGCCTTTGTAGGTCCCCTGAGTAACTTTCAGCCGGGTTTCTGGGAGGGGTGAAGTCACTTCTCTTGAGTGGTCCGCACAGCATCCTCCCCTTTCTCCCACACAGATAAACTTTCCCTGGCCAGGGAGAAGTTCATCAAAGACGGGCTGGTCCTACCAGCTTGATACAGTCAATCCACCCCTCTGGTTCCGGGCTTCTCAAACTTGAGCTCAAGTGGGAGTCACCTGGAGGCCCCGCTGAACCCGGCTGCTGGGCGCCCTCCCCGAATCTGATTCGAGGTGGACCCCGGGAACCTGCATTTCTAAAAAGTCCCCAGGAGATACTGATGCTACTGGTCTGGGGACCACACTCGGCTTCCCTCAGAGACCTCCGAGGAGGAGCCAAGCCTGCTCAGGGTAGCTCCCAGGCCTGACGGTATGTGCTGCCAGTTTCCCCAAGTCCCCTAGAGCTGGAACTCAGAGGAGACACCTTGGGGCAGGCGACGCATATCGAAATAAGGCACCAAGACACCAGGATCTTGTTAGCTGGATATATTTCTTTTTTTTTTTCGTTTTTGTTTTTGTCACAGAACACTGTTTGCAGTAGAGGAAACTGGCATTGCAGTCTGGTGATAAAATGGCTTGTTCACATAAACCAGTACATGTCCATCCTTTAGCGCAAAAGCCCTAATGGCGCGTACCCTAGTGAAATTCAGGACATCTCCAACTTTCTCTCTCTGTTTTTCTTGGTCATCTTTCTTTTTTAATGTTTTCGAGGTTTGTCCAAAAGGCCATGTAGGCTCCTGGCTAGCGGAAGACGACGCAGAGCGGTTGTCGCACACTTGGACTGTCACCTTCTCCAGGCTGGCAGTTGATATCGTATTTTTTTTTCCAACTCATTTTTATTAAAAAAATAAAAAAATGCTCCAACTATCAGTTTTACAAAATCTCTAAGGGAAACACAAGAGCAAGGTGCTGAGGTAAAAAAACACCTGAGGTAGCTTTTTTTTTTGTGTGTGTTTTTCTCGTTAAAAAAATCTGTAAATTTAACGCCCTTGGCCAACGACCTCGTGTAAATTGCTATTTTCTTCCACTTTTTTTTTTTTTTTAAAGAAAGAAATCATTTTGCTGAAAATGGATGGCTTATACACCAAAATGTAAAAAGACAAAATATATTCTTTCTTTGCAGGGGTTTTTCTTTGTTTGGTTGCTTTGATGGGTTCCTGTTTCCTCTTCCGAAAAGCTAGGACAAGTACCGTTGACTCTTGATCTTTTGAGTAACCAAGTGTAAGCTGAGGCTGGTTTGTGTGTTCGCTTTTGTTCCTTTTGTGTGATGTGATACTCAGAGCACTGCTTTGCCTGGGGGGTGCATAGAGAGTGGGACTGAGACTGGGGGTGTGGGGGT